GTCTTACCTTTATTCATTGTTGGTTGAATGTATGTTCTATTTGTGCGAATATAAAGCTACAGTACATCAGCTGTATCAGAGATTGAGAAATGTTGTGGGCAGAGATCAAATGAGCGACATCAATGGTAATGGGATTTTGGTGAGCTTTATAGCTTTCGTTTGGGTGTGCCGGAGGTTAAACGCATTCGTTTATGCAATATAACACAATAAGGAATCCATTATCACAGTCCATTAACATGGCTTTTACATGTGCAGTAACAGCATACATTATGGATGTAATTAATTTCCGGGTACTAGTTGTTGTTGTGGTTTCAAAAATTGAAATTATTCCTTAATTCAGTCAAGAGATCCCATTAAGATATTACTCCTGTATCTCTTTTTCCAGTAAGATCTGGTTATGACGGCACCACATAAAAGTTTCATACAAAGACTACAAATATAATAGAAATATCACAATTTACATATCCACAAATCATTATTCATAATCATAAATCAGTTCTTTAGAACAGTATATAAAAGATGATTAAAAGTATTCAGAGTCGGCAATGTTGCAAATGTTTGAAATAAACATGTCTTGATTGCTTTATTTGTATACATAGAAAGGCTTTAAGTACATAAATATTGCAGCTATTGTTAACTTTCACGGTGAAGCACGAACCGTAACTTAACACTATAAGACATGATTATGGTTGTGGCTTTAGTTTATTCAATATTAACTCTGATGATTCAAATATTTTTCTTTTCCAGGTATGATGGTTCACAGGCACGAAAAAACTTGGTGATTGTGCACATTAAACTCTTATCAGGATTCACAGCTGATACATCAGTGGTGTGTTTGACTTAAGTGATTCATTATTAGATTCGCTGTTTGGATTCACTGTGAACCTTTAACCTCCTAGGGCTTAGTGGCCACATACGTGGACAGCACATTTTAGCTCTTAAGTGGCTATTTAAAATACTTTGAATGTTTTATATTTTGTTACAGACATACAGTTTCATCTTGCAACTGGTTTACAGCATATAAAAAGTCCCAAACACAATTTTTAACTGTCCAAAATGGGCAAAAAAATTAATTTGAGTCACTCATTAGACACAGCAAAGTAAAATTAACAAAATGCGCTCTGGCGCAAAAAAAAAAAAACAAGGGCACAAATCACTGCAATACAAATAGCTCAATACAGTTGTTAGCTCTGAATCTGCCAACATGACTGGGCCTTCAATTCGATTTATAATACAGTCAAAAGGTGTTTAGACATCACTCTGACAGTAGCATGAATATTCCCATTCAGCAGCAACAGAAATGATGCGGGCACACTAACAATCTGAACGAGAATGAACACACACAAATGCTCTTAAATCAAATTCGCCGATTGATATATATATATATATATATATATATATATATATATATATATATATATATATATATATATATATATATATATATATATGTGCATATGTATATGTATGTGTATGTATATGTATATATATGTATGTATGTATGTGTATGTATGTATATATATATATATATATATATATATATATATATATATATATATAGATATATATATATATATATAGATATAGATTACCAGCAATTTAACTTAATTAGACTTAATGTTCATCCTTTTTTATGTAAAACCCAGCAGGTAAGACATTATTTCACTTATCTGAAGCTTGAAGAATGTAATTCCCCTACAAAGCATTGATCGCTCAGGTAGGCTCAGAGCTTAACTTCTTGTGCGAGAGCCATTGTTGTGTGTGACTTCAGTCTTTGTCCCATTAGCAGAGGGACGGATTAGGACTCTCTCCCAAGTAGAGTGTCGGGCTTATGCTGCTTTTGTTTTGCTGTAAAATGCTCATGGTGGATCGGCGGAGGTACTGCACAGCAGGTTGTAATTGGTTTGCCAGACCGTCATTGGGTTTAGACCTCATGGTACACGCGAATACGGTGTTAGCCGTCTAAAACTCAACTGGATTGTTGTGGATTTAGCTGGAGTATATAGATTAGCCATTTGACTATTGTCTTAGAACGCTCATAAAATCCTTCAAAGAAACAGAAGGAAAGAGGATACAGGATTAACACACACACAGCAGAAGGAGGAGGATGATCATGGGTAGCATCCATCCATGAAGCATTAACACTTTCACAATAGACTTGAGACAATTGCCTGCAAGCCTTCCTCTCTACCACCTCCTACTGTAGGCCATAGTCTGGTAATTCTCTAAATATCTTCACACTTAACACTTTTTTTTTGGACTTCGGGGCATCATTAAGAGAATGGACACAGCCCAGTATGCACTGTGTAGAGTTGGGGCCTGGGATCCAAAGGTTGCAGGTTAAAGTCCCATAACCAGCAGGATTGTAGGTACTCTCTTCCAGTCTCAACCTAGGGTGAGGTGATTTCCTTGAGCAAGACACCGAACCCCCAACTGGTTTCCTGGGCAGCTCACTGCTTTAGGTGTGTTCACGGGTGTAAATAAAAGTTAATTGTAGATGCTTCAATGTCTTCCAATGGTAGAAACAACATTTTGACTTATACAAGAGTGTAATTTGTGAGGTATTCTATTTCAAAACCAAGTCTGCTACCTTCTAAAGAAGTTTTATAAAGGTTTAGTCAAACTTTGAGCAGCATTTAGCAGACCAAACATTAGATATATATATATAATGCCTAAAATCAGTAGATTAGTATTAGGTAAAGATTCTGTTCCATGCAGATATTTAGTAAATTTCTTAATGAAAATGTATCAATATTTAATTTTTGATTAGTAATGAACATAAGGACATGATAATAACAATAAAAACAAATTTAAACCCAATTTTCACAGTAATTTTGCCGTTGATAGACCTTCAAAGTTGTATCTCTGCCATATTAACATATTTAAGTAAGGATTAATTAATGAAGAGCTTATATATTCAGCTTTTTTATTCAGCTTATTTAGCCTACATAACAATACAATATTACAACAACAGACATTACAATAGCCTAATACATAAATCGAAATTTCCAAAAATGTGTACTTGTTGTTGTTGTTGTTGTTCCAAAAATAAAGTTTATTCGTCTTTTTTTTTTGCACTGAATAATAAATTTTTTTTTTTTGTGGCCAAAAAAAAAGAATCTAACATTTGAACATCTTTCACATCAGCAGAGTGATACCTTAAAAGGCTGCCTAGCTAGGCAACTCACTATTATTGTGTAGCACTCTCTGAAGCAAGCACAATTACATTAGCGCTTCATTAGCACTACTCCGTTTGATTAACTCAGTGGTTTAATTAAATTGTACTTCTGTGTAATTTGGTTCAGATGAGGAATGTGTCTAAACCTCTGAGCAGGGCTTAAAACCACTATCATTGCCTCAGATTTGTTTGTGTCATGTATGTAGTTGTTTTGGAAGAATAACCTTAGCGCATGTTTATGATAGGAATGGTGTGTTCTGAGCATGTTGAGGATGTTAAACCACCGACTCGGGATGGATGGAGGGATCAACGCAAGGCTCAGCTGCTAGAGAGGAGAGCAGAAGACATCCCTCGTTACATGGAGCAGCTTAAAGAGCATGTGCAGAAAGACATGATCCCAGTTGGCAGACCCAATGTAGAACAGGTCAGTTACAAATCCACAAGTCTCAGCTGGCTCGAATGATCAATGCTCTGAAGTCATCATGTCACTGTCTGATTTTTAAAATTGTGCAAGATATAAATCTAAAGTTTATTTATTTATTTATTTATTATTATTTTTTTAATTTTATTTATTTATTTATTTATTTTTGTTTTTATCAAATTTGTCTGTGCTAAGGGCCCTATCATACACCTAAAGCAATGAGGCACCAGGCCCGTGCTAAAGGGGCGCTTTTTGCTAGCATTTTTCGTCGACAGCTAAACTTCCGTTGACTAACTTCCGTTGACTACATAAAGAGCGTCAATATGATTGTGCACACCAATGCGCCAAACGCCAGCCGTAAAAGCATATTTTTTTTAGGAAATGCCTCATGCTCGTTTTGAATCAGATTGGCACTTTTGTTCACGTGCAGCAGCTTTGGTGAAATCCAGTTCATTTTGTAGATGGTCTGCTTGCACACTTTAACCTCACAGCTAGCGCAGGGGTCACCAATCTCGGTCCTGGAGGGCCGGTGTCCCTGCAGTTCTTAATGTAGCAAGCTGGATCTTCTTCATTCTTGTCTGTCACCGTGCTGTTTATCTATATGAAAGCTACACACATCAAAGCAACAGTGAGTGACCCCAATGGCTCAGATGTGCACATGGGAACGGTGGGCAGAGAGAACCAAATCATTTGCAACAAAAACAGCAACAATGTCTTAACAGCTCAAATTTTTAATATACAGAAATGTATAATAAATAATCTAATAGGTGTTTTGAGCTGAAACTTTACAGACACATTCTGGAGATGCGAAATACTAATTTTAAATCTTGAAAAAGAGGTAAAATAGATGCCTTTTAAATGCCTTCATATCTCAAATACCCTTTTCAAACAAATATTTTTAAAAAGTTATTAACGACAAGTGTGTTTGCAGCTGAACACTGCAAGAATGTAAATTTCCACTAACAAGATTGAGCACCCTTGCCTTAAGTTCACCAGCACCATGCATTTTAGACCAGGGGTCTCAAACTCACAGGCTTGGGCCAATTGCAGCCCACAGGATGATAGTTTGTGGCCCCCGTCTTAATTTAAAAGTTTAATACCCGCGAGTTTGATATGTATAGCACCTTACAGTTTTGTTTGTAGAGCTGAACGAATCCACTAATCACGATGGGTATATGGCTCTTGGGGGCGCAACATCAGCTGGGATTGACGCAGGCAGAGAAAGATTTCCCAGTGAGTGAAAGTTACAGCAGCGTTACTATGAATGTTTTCTTCCACGCCTGCTGGCTGCCTCGTTTCCATTGGGCACACGTGGACATTTGTCCCAGCACACTTCATTCACAACACTTCTAAAAAAGTTTTTTATTTGTATTTTTCTTTCCAGTATTTATTTTGCTTGAACTTGCTTGCGGTGAATATATGCGCGTGTGTGTGTGTGTGTGTGTATATGCGTGTGTGTGTGTGTGTGAGAGAGAGAAAGAAAGAGAGAGATAGAATGAGTTAAGCGAATGCTGTGTGAACTGTGTGTGCGTGCTAGTTAAAGCAAAACTCATGTTTAACTATTAGTCCTGAACAATATTTTCAACCAATCATCTTTCTTGCATTTAGAATCACTCTCATTGGTTGGTGGTTATTGTTTTGCGCGCAGTGAGCAGAAAAGAAATCAAAGTGATGCGTACGCGGCAGGATAAAAGAAAAGTAAAGAACTCAATGCAGCCTAATGTAGTCTGCAGTCACACATCGACACCTGTCCATCGGCAATAAGAGTCCCCGGTAACCCGGACCAATTATAGAGTGGCATCATTATTTGTGGGTAATTTGCATCGCCTCACACAATAAACATTACATATATTTCTATATTATGTAAAAGTAGTCCAAACAAACAGCTTTTTTTCCCCTGTAACAACAGCACGGTGGATAACAGTAAATCAATTTATTATTATTATTATTATTATTATTATTATTATTATTAGTAGTAGTAGTAGTAGTAGTAGTAGTAGTAGAGGTAGTATTATTATCATTAATATTATTATCATTTTTAGTATCATTATTATTATTATTATTATTATTATTATTACTAATATTATTATTATTACTATTATTATTATTACTTCATTCATTTTCTTATTAATTTTTAATTTGTTTATTTTTTTCGTCTTATTTTGTGTTTAAAAAAATCCTCAATCTTCTCAAATCTTTTAATTAATTAATTAATTTATTTATTTTTTGTTGCACAAAATAAGATAAAATAAACAAATTAATAATATAATTAATTTCTTGTGGAAAACCTGATGCGGCCCAGCCTCACCCCGACTAAATTGAATTTGAGACCCCTGCTTTAGACCATTTAGTTAAAATAAAGCCCTAAATCTTGCACTGCTGATTATAAGAATGTCAGGATCACATGACCTCCTTTTTTAGGTCTACTCATGTTGCAACCCTCAATTGCTGTTGATTTTCATCATGAAATTGCATTCTTGATATTCTATTCTAAAGGTCATGTTCTAGATCCTTCAATATTTTTTTGAATGAAGCTTGTCTAGAATTCTCAACAACACAAAATGCTGAAATTCATTAAACGAGATCGGAATTAGCAAACATTTTCAAGCTGTAATCAGTCTTGGAAACCTATTATGACTGAAATGCGAATAAAGCGTTGCACATTAAATAGAGAATGTGAAGCTGAAGTGAGAAATGAACACATAAGGAGCGGATGGGATGTAATGATTATGTTTGAGTCATGGCATGAGTTGAATAATCGCTCTTGGTTTGTGTGTTACTGCAAATGAGAGCCTTACTCTGCTCCTCCAACTGTTCCAAAACACAACATGCACAAAACCACACTCCACAAAATGTGCTGACTGAATCCTGGGGTGTGTGTGTCTGCAGGGTTTGACTTTAGATTGTATTAACACACATGTTTAGATGTTCTGAATTCAAGTTCCACCTGCAGCAGTAGAATGCTGCCTGTTGGTCCTAAACAAGAACATGGATTTTCCTTTTTTTTTTTGGCAGGAGGAGCGATCAGAGCGAGAGAAGACAGAGAGAAAGGTGTGGGCGAGGAAACAGAGAGTAATGTCGCTCTTACGGGGAAATTCAAAGGTACTGAAGTGTGTCCAGAAAAAGAAAAGATTACTGTAGGTATGTCAAATGAGATTTCCTGAGGTACAGGAGCTGCCACTGAGACCTTCTGCTGTCTTTTCCCATCAATCACATTCTACTATCACAGAAACACACAGTCGCAGGCTAATACAGATGATTCTATAGAATTCTATAGGATAAAACATGTATAAATAGTATGCTTTCTTATTTAAATACATGTCACACACATATGCATGCATATACAGATAAAGGAAAAATTATTAGGCCTCCTTTTGAAATTTTGTTTCTTTTTAAAATATTTTTCTGGTCATGTTTAACAGCAGCACATTTTATGCATTCATTCATTTTCCTTCGGCTTAGTCCCATTATTCATCAGGAGTCAACCACAGCGGAATGAACCAACAACTTATCCAGCATATGTGAAACACCCATACACTCACATTCACACACATACACTTCAGCCAATTTAGTTTATTCAATTCACCAATAGAGCTTATTAGACTGTGGGGGATACCTGAGCATCCGGAGGAAACCTACGTAAACACAGGGAGAACATGCAAACTCCACCAAGCAATGCCAACTGAACTAGCTGGGGCTCAAACCAGTGACCTTTTTTGCTATGAGGCAACTTTGCTAACCACTGAGCCACCGTGCCACCCTAACACATTTAATTTTCTATAATATACTTGTTTAGGTGACTTTCTTATTTATTTTAATTTGCCTGGAATAAAATAAGTAAAAAAATAAAACACAAAATTGAAGGTCTATATTATTAGCCCTCTTAAAATTATTATTTTCGATTGGCTACTGAATAAACCCCTATTATCTAATGAATTACCTAAATAACCCTTTAACTGCTTCACCAAGAAAAACAAAAACAAAAAAAAAAACATTTGGATTGCATTTCTTAACCCCTAATGTCGCTTGTTAACACTCACAGTGCATTTATTTTTAACACATGCATTTTGTAAGCTCAAGTATTGGCATATACTTGCATACAAATCTATACTGGGTTTACTCCAATCATATTTACAGAATTACATTTGTGAAAAGCCTGTCCTTATCTATGGCTTTCGGTCACAGGGTATTTATTTACTGTCTTTTCCTAAAGTGCGGACTGAGATGGGGAAAAAAAAGGCTTTGGTTGCATGGGATAATCTACAAAAAAAGTTGCAGTTTAAAGAATTGATTTCACTTAATTATTTTAAAAAGAGTATAAATGATTAAGAAATTGAAACACAGGCTTGTATATGTTTTGAATAGTTTGGTTGTCAATGTGTGATTCATGTTAACTGTCAATTGTTTTTTGTTTGTTGTTTGTTAGACCCAGGTGACATGTATAGTGCCTAATTTTGGCCATGACGCTCTTCAATTCAGTTCAATTCAGCTTTATTTGTATAGCGCTTTTACAATGTAGATTTTGTCAAAGCAGCTTCACATAAATGGTCATAGTAACTGGATCAGGGTTGTTCAGTTTTTAGTGTTTAAGTTCAGTTCAGTTTAGCTCAGTTCAGTGTAGTTTGAAGTCATTATTGAGAGTCCAAACACTGAAGAGCAAATTCATTGATGAGTAGCTTTTCAGATCGTGAACCATGCAAGCCAGTGGCGACAGCGGAGAGGGAAAAAAAAATTTCACCAATAGGTGGAAGAAAAAAAACCTTTAGAGAACCAGACTCAGTTCGGCACGACCATTTTAATTTCTCCGCTGGCCAAAAGTCTTGTGCCGAGCTGCAGTCTCAGCAGCTCTTGTAAAAGATTTTTAATCTCAATGTGTCTTTCCTGGTAAAATAAAGGTTATAATAATAATAATAATAATAATAATAATAATAATAATAATAATAATATTAGGAAGAATAATTTCTAAAATATCAGCCCATACCAAATGGTAGATATGTAGGTTTATGGTAAAAGTACGGAAAATTAATACATATACTATGAAAAAAAAGCAAAAGTATAAGACCAATTTATTTGAAAACTTAATTAAAATAAAACATTTTTGAATACTACATCATTTTTATAAGCATGCCATAAAATATTTCAGATTCTCATTTAACATGTTTTTTATTTATTTATTTATTTTTACAATAAAATCAAAATCAAGTGTAGTGCAACAGGATGTTTGTATGATTTTTTGTAAACCAACAATGCTGTGTAGTGTAAACCAATAACAGTCATCATTTAAAACAGTGAAAATATGATCAACCATTTGGTAGAGCAGGCAGTTAAAGGGTTAACCTAACTTGCCTAGTTGATCTGATTAGCCTAGCTAAGCCTTTTAATTTCAAATTAACCTAACAAGTAGTATCTCGCTAAATAAGTTGTAAATACTGTCAAATCAGTTTGTGAGCCGAGTAGTGTCTGAATTCGAAAAACGGTATGCAAGACGTACCCGGATGAACCAGTACTACCGGCGAGATTCTGAAGTGCACATCTCATGGACGCTATGCTATCACATGATGCACCATGAGAGAATTGAAGCGATGCAACTGACACAGGTAGGTCATGGAATTGTGACAAAAGGTGGATGATGTACGTCAGAGTGTCATTCATACTACTGACATTCCTAATGTAGAGAACATACTTTTCTAAAGGCCGAGTAGTAAATTCAAATTCAAATGCGGTACCTACTAAGTAGTAGGTGATATCGGACGCAGCCTATTTCTTCTGAACCAAACACACCTGATTCAGATCATTAGCTCATCAGACTGAAAGACCTATAATGGGTGTGACAAAACATCCAAAACATGCAGTGTTGGTGGTCCTCCTGGAACGTGGTTGAGAAGCACTGACATATAGGAAATAATTAAAAAAAAAGTTTAAAAATGTATTGATTAATTTGTTTAATTGTATTTATCCCCTGAATGTTTTGGTAATATTTGAATATGTTTTTTTTCTTTTTTTTGCCTCTGCAGCTCGGGCACACACATGAGGAAGAAGCTGTTCTACAGGACAGACTGTATGCTGTGTTCCAGCGGTGCGTGAATTCCTCTACATCCAATCTGATGTGAAATAATCATTAATCTGTGTTTCCAAAGCCATTTACATTTTGCTGACATTTGTGAGGAGATGTAATATACTCCACATTGTATTGTCTCTACCAGTGCATTCTGGGTAAGTTGCCAAAGGCGAGGAAATCTGTCCGTGTCATTGGACGCAAAGTAGCATCAATTTCATCCTGTTCACTTCAGTCTGCAGCCCTTTCTCTCTCACTCTCTCTCTCTCTGTTTCTGAGTGTCAGGCCTGCAGGCTCGGCTGTGTTTAAGTTTTTAATAATTGTGCATCTAATGAAATCAGGGTGCTTAGTTGGACACTGGTGCAGAGGTTTGTTAGATGACCCTCTCTCCATGTCCTTGCATAGCATCTCTGGGTGACTGTTAGTGAGATGAAACGTGTATACTGGATCAAGATCATCTTCATTTACTTAGCAAATACTGTGACATATCAGGTTTTTTAGACAGATTTCAAATAGTTTCTTAATCCAGACTTTATCTGTCCATCATAAAAATTTATTTGGATAGTTCGATTTTCTGCTTTTTTCGCGTCCTTAGCAAATATTTTGAGGGGTGTTTTTGACAATTGTGGGCCACCAAATGACGAATATGAAAAAAACAAATACGACTGACTGTTCGGACCGTGAGGGTGCAAGGACCTTTAATTTTTAAAGCTTGTGCAGCTTCTTGAAGGAGAAATCAAACAAATGAACACCGTTTTCTAAAGTCTATGAGGGCAGCACACACAAATAAACTAAACTGACATACTGCAGTTAAAATTCAAAACGTGGTGTTTTTATGTTTATAACATTTGAATACAATTTAGCAACGTACATCACACGACCAAGAGAGCTTACAATTGACCATCACTTAATTTATCATCATCTCACGATTGAAAATGTGACACTGATTTCATACAGGGTTCATACAGGCACAGCGCGCCCCGCCGGTTGAGAACCACTGAATTAAAAAATAGAGGATATAATGATGATGGTCATGATGATAAATAGTTTTTATTTTTATTTTTTTGGTTATCAATAAGTGAAGTTTCACAAACTAATTTCGAGAGGAGCATGTGATATGATTGACTGCAGCTGGCCACTCATCTACACTCATTAGTTAGCCAATCAGATCGATCCAAACTCACTATAAGTAACCTAGCTAAGAACTACTCCCTTATCTTCGTTTTCCCGAAGAAACCCCCCGTCCACCCCTTCTCCTCCTTTCCTCTTGCCGAGGGGAGCTCTCGAGAACACCTGATCTCGTACTCCCCTCACATGCTCTATGGACCTGGCGGGAGCCCTGGGCTCAACTATCTCCGAGCTCAGGGTTCTCGGGACAGCATGCCAAACCTGCTAATTTGCTAAAAAGTTGTCAAACAGTATCGAAGTGTGAACTCTTAAAATGACATACATGCTATGTATATATGCACATCATCAGGGAGGAGAATCGTTTGCTGAATTCTCTACGTCAACACCAGGCTGAAGTCGTCAACAAATATGGTGAAATTGTTGAAGAGACAGAAAACATAGAGCTGCTAGGAATCGAACCTGACGTCCACTGCCAGGTACACACACAAACTTACAGCTACACCCTTAAAGTGAACTAATCAACACATAATATGCTATATCGAAACATGTCCAGGCCCTTTTCCCGAATCGTTTGAGAAGTGTTAGTGCTCTGAATCAGCTCAGGCCAGCCCTGGCCTGGTTGAAAAAAGTGTGCCAGAGCGCGGTTCACTTGGGCTTTGGCATGGTACGCTTATAGTGTTAGTGCAAAGCGCACCGAAGCTGAAACTCAAGATCAGTCTTGACTTAAACGGGACCGTTGCATATGGATTTTTTAATCATTCTTACTGTTCAATGAACACAAACTGTCGTAGATTATTACAGACGCAAACCCTTGACTGCACGACAGCTGCAACTTCAGCAAACCTCATAATTCCTGCAGCACGAGGACTTTATGATTGTTTATAAACGTCAAAAGTGGCTGATCTGTTCGGCGAAATATTTGACTGCTTGTCACTGCATCCCAGAACCACTAAACTGATATAACTAAAGAAATCTCCACTGTGCTGAGCGAAATCATTTACTGAACAGCACATCATCAATGACGTAAGCATACCCAGGAGGGGGGAAAAGCGTGCTTTGGCCCGGTTCAAAGCAACTGTACTTAGTGTAAAAAGTCCTTAAACCGGATACTTTGCTAGGGGGAATCTATGGCTCTTGAGCCAATCCTTCCTTCAATATTATTTTACAGTTTAAAAAACTATAACCTCTCTAACATCACTTTCCTATCGAAAATACAATTACTATTCCCTTTTAAATTGTAGTTTTATACAGCACAATGAATAAGAACTATAACACTAAAAGGACGTTTTAACCAATGTGCGTTTTTGACAATGTGGATAAACTTGAATTGTGGCACCAATAAAGGACAAAATCTTATGTTTCTATGGCAACTTTAATTCAAAGAACATTCATGAGTAGTGATGGTGAAAATAAAAATACTCTAAATTATTCTTCATTCTTGAACTTGCTCAGCATGTGATGCTTCATATTTGTTTATTTTTGAGTTGCACATGGACAAATTAAGGTTTTGTTAAAACCTGTATTTATAGTAATATAATAATAATAATATTATTATTATTAATAATAATAATAATAATATAGTATATAGTCATACAGTAGCAAATGCATTTTTAAAGAGGCATTTTGAGATATACAGTTGCAATCAGAATTGTTAAACCACCTTTGAAATGTTTTTTTCTTATAAAAATATTTCCTAAATGATGTTTAACAGAGGAAGGAAATTTTCACTGTATGTCTGATAATATTTTTTCTTCTGGAGAATTTCTTATTTGTTTTATTTCGGCTAGAATAAAAGCCATTTTTAATTTATTAAACACAATTTAAGGTCAAAATTAATAGCCTGTTTAAGTTATATTTTTGATAGTCTACAGAACAAACCATCGTTATACAATAACTTGCCTAATTCCCCTATCCTGCCTAGTTAACCTAATTAACCTAGTTAAGCCTTTAAATGTCACTTTAAGCTGTAAGTGTCTTGAAAAATAGCTAGTAAAATATTATTTACTGTCTTCATGGCAAAGATAAAATGAACTGTCAGTTACAACAGCTTAATGTTTAGAGATGTGTTGAAAAAATCTCTCTGTTAAGGAGAAATTGGGTAAAGAAATAAACAGGGACTAATAATTTAGGGGGGCTAATAATTCTGATTGTAACTGTATATAGACATCCAGGCTACAAACTAAACAAAACGGGAAAAACAAGAAATGACCAGTTTAGCAGTTTAAGCACAGGATTTTATGTTCAAATTCTCGATTTTCAACATATCTGAACCAATTTAAAATGTTACGATGAATATGCACATGCAAATTGACTGATATTAAAGCATAAAAAAATAATAAGGTGAATGTTTTAAATGTTCCATGACATTATACAGTAAATAGAGCTGAATCAAATAAGGTGATTAAGTGGAGCATCCTGTTAATGATGTCAGTCATGGAGGCACACGTTACGAACTCACTGAGCAAGGAACGAAAGTGAATGTGAACAGGTAGCTGCTGTACCTAAGTTTCTGACTCAACCAAAACCAAAGGAAAAGGACAGAGGGCAAAGCGCATTACTGAGGTGTGTGTGTGTGTGTGTGTGTGTGTGTGTGTGTGTGTTGTGGTTATGGCAGGGTTTTGCGTTGTAATGACTCTTCTAAGAAGGCCTCGACAGTAGCAGCAGCAGCTTCAGTTTGCAGACAGAACATCAGCTTTGAAGGAGGCAGTAAACGGAGTGAGATTGTAGTATAATTCCTCAGCCTGGCATCCGTGCCCCCCAGTCACTGTTCCATTATCTCTCAAATTGCTGTGTTTCAGAGAGATAAAGATATTTTATGGCTTGCTGACTTGAAACAACCCGCACAGCCAGAAAAGCAATGGCCGACCTGCCACGCATAGTAATTTCATTGGTAAATGACAAAATCTTTGTTTATATGACATTTCCAAAATTACAGTGGCAGATGAATCTCAAATTTAAAATGTCACATTTGGCATGCAAAACTATGAAAATATATTTCTGTACGAAATTCATGGAGGCATTTAATTTAGAACGTGTTTAATAACTAAGCCTGCCTGCATCGGTAATCCTGCCTTCAGGACTCGAAAAGATTGTCATATTTATTCACTAGCTCCCCCCCACCACCACCACCCTCCTTCATTCTCACGCCAAAAAATTTAAGGGTAAATGTTCATTGTTAATTAAGATTTACTAATTAAAATGAAAATAATTAAGGAGAAAGCTTAATCTTGGAATATTAGGCTATACTTAGAAAGAAAAAGAAAGTTTTTGTGTATGTGTGCGTGTATGCGCGCGTGTGTGTGTGTGTGTGTGTGTGTGTGTGTGTGTTTTATGAGGGAAGGGGGGGGGTTTCCTGTTTGCAGAGTGTTTTGTCGATCTGTCAGTGAGGTTTCAGCGAAAGCCGCCCTGCGTGCCAGAAAACGAGGGATGAGAAGTGTAAAGGATCTGGCGAGCTGCTTTGATGTCATCTAGCCTAGTGTTATGGTGTTATGCCACTTACGCCACCGCTGTAGGAAATGCAGTGTTCTCCACACCTTTATTTCCTGGAAATCTGGCAAATGTCAAATAACATACCACTTCCGCTGTTGCTGTAGTATATGTATACCGGACCTGGACACATAATGCAAGTGTTCAGTTCTGCTGTATGGCCCACAGATGTTACACATTAAGTATGTATATGTACCTAAGGCTTTCAAATGTGTAGATATCGTATGGACGAAATAAAATGTCTATCATTTCATATTATGCACTATTTATTTTATGGTTTCATATATACAGTTGAAGTCAGAATTACAAGCCCCCCTGCTTATTTTTTCCCCAATTTCTGTTTAATAGAGTGATTTTTTTTTTCAACACATTTCTAAACATAATAGTTTCAATAACTCATTTCCAATAACTGATTTTTTATCTTTGTCATGACAGTAAATAATATTTAACTAGATATTTTTAAGACACTTCTATACAGCTTAGTTACATTTAAAGGCTTAACTAGGTTAATTAGGTTAACTAGACAGGTTAGGGTAATTAAGTTATTGTATAATGATGGTTTGTTCTGTAGACAGTCGAAAAAATATACAGCTTAAAGGGGCTAATATTTTTGTCCTTAAAATGGTTTTAAAAAAATTATTGACTGCTTTTTGTCAAGCCAAAATAAAACAAATAAGACTTTCTACAGAAGATAAAATATTATCAGACATACTGTGAAAATATCCTTGCTCTGTTAAACATAAATTGGGAAATAATAAGAAATAAATAAATAAACAAAAGGGTTGGCTAATAATCCTGATTTCAACTGTACATTGTGTAATACTTAATCATCTGGATAACTTTCATTTTACATGCTACCATGCAATCAGAAACAGAATGTTAAGAGAATTGCAAGATTAAAAGTATGTTTACATTGCATGTTTTATTTTATGTATTAATTACTAGTTTTAGAAAACTGATTTCTATGTTATTATTTATTTTATACGTCAACATTCTTAATCAAAAATTTGCCCTGAAGTTCTAAATAAAGTGACCAAAAATTGCATTTATGTATGAATGCATCTTTGAGCATATACTTTAAAATGTTCAAAAACAAGAAATACTGATTTTCATGTAGTGATGGGTACTGTTAAGGTTTTAACGGTATTACTACTTTTATTGATACCACTTATCGTTTCGGTACTTCAACGGTTCTGGTACGGTTATTGGTACTTTTTGTAATGTTTTTTTTTGTATGACAAAAAATTGTGTATGTCTTTGT